CTGGTGAGTACTTGCATGAGGTGAGTAGTGTTCATGTCTGACACCTTGAAAAGCCTGTGGCTTTATGTCCTGATTATAGGCCAGCACAGGACAATTTTGACTAAAGATGAATTTGTTTCATCAAATCTAAGAGTTTCAGAGCATCATACACATTTCTGATGACTAATTAAAATGGAACTGTTTTTCTTATCTGTGGAAATACACACACAATCTTAATTCATTTTGCCACAAAGAAAGGTGTTTGGCTTTCTTGAATAATGGCTCCATCTAGAAAACTTTTTATCGTCATCATCACCATCATCATCATCATCACCATCTTCATCATGGCTGAAGTGTATTCAGTGTTTATGGTGTACCGGGACCATGACTGAAGCCTTTCCTGCACTATCACACTTAAGCTACACAACTGCTCAAGGATGCACCATTATTATCCCCATCTTACACTTGGAGAAGAGAGTCATCTAGCTAACAAGTGTGCAGAGTTAGGATTTGAAGCTATGTTTGCCTTTAGATTGCATGCCTTTAAAACTATCCCACACTTTAAGTAAAGTAAAAAATATTAAATAAATGAGGAAGAGACAACATAAAACTGTGAATGAGTTATACATACCGGAATTGCCTTTCAGTTGACAAATTAAAATAAAGCCGTATAGTACCTAGTCTCCAGAGATGGCCCCAAACATTTCCACCTTTTCCTATATGTGCATATTGTTCTTTCCATGAAGAGATGGTATATGTGTCCCCTCCCCATGTGTCTGATGGCTTTAACAAATATACTAGTAATTCAGGGCAGTTGACATCTGTGTCCTTTGAACTTAGGCATTAAGAAGGCCTGGCATGGTTGACTGATATTTGACGAGAGTGCCAAGATAATTCAATGGGGAATGAATGGTCATTTCAACAAATGGTACTGGGACAAGAGAATAGCTGCATATAAAGGAATGAGGTTGGACTCTTACCGCATGTCTTATAGAAACATTAACTCAAAATGGATTGTAGAACTAAATGCAAGAGCTAAAACTATGAAATAATTAGATAAAAACTTAGGAGTAAATCTTCATGGGCTTCCAAAAGGTGACACCAGAAACACATGTGACAAAAGAGAGAAATGGATAAAATAGATGATGATATCAAAATTAGAAACTTTTGGACTAAGGCAATACCACCAAGAAAGTGAAAAGCAACCCACAAAATGGACGAAAGTGTGCGCAAATCATGTCTGATAAAGGACTTGCATCTTGAATATTCAAAGACCACTTAAAATTTAATAATAAAAAGACAAGCAATCTAATTTAAAAGTGGGGAAGGGTCTGAATAGACATTTTTCCACAAATGGACAAATAAGCACATGAAAACATGCTCAACATCATTAATTATTAGGAAAATGCAAATCAAAACCACATTGAGATTCCACACCTACTAGTATGGCTGTAATAAAAAAAGAAAAAAATGATAACAAATGTTGGTGAGGATGTGGAGAAATTAGAACTCATACTTTACTGGAGGAATGTAAAATGGAACAACTACTTTGGGAAATAGTTTGGTAGTTTCTCCAAACACTAAATAGAGCTACAATATGATCCAGCAATTCTACTTCTAGGTTTCTATCCAAGAGAAATGAAATGCACATCCACACAAAAATTTGTATATGAATGTGGTATATCCAACTCTCTTTATATACCAAATACCATTGAATTGTACATATGAAATGCTAATTGCATGGTAAGTGAATTATAACCACAATAAAACTACAAAAATGTCCTGGCAGTAACTGCATCCTCTCTCTTCAACTCTGCCTCAGAGTTCAGCCTGCCTCACCGGAAAGAAAAGCTGTGTTGACTTAGGAGTAACACAGGGCCAGACACCCCTGTCCTGGCCACCGTCTGCCTGCAATTGCATGAGTTACCTCCAGGAAGACTGATAGCAGAACTGCCCCGTTGAGCCCCAGGCAACCCACAGAATCTTGAGATATAATTAAATGGTGGTTGTTTAAAATCACCAAGTCTAGGAATAGCTTGTTACATAGCAAAACATAATTGGAACAAATACTAAATCAAATTCTTACTTTAACACTGTGACTACATATGAATACTAAAATCAAATCCCATGAAAGGCTTTGTCTTGAAGAGAGGAACCTGACTTGATTTTAAGAGGAAATGAAATAAGGAAGAGCGAAGGGTGGTGGTGCATGTTTTAATAACGTGGCAAGCTGAGCTAATCCAGGCAGGCCTGCCAACTGGTCTCTTTTCTTGGCAGCAGCAGCTGACCAACCACTTGTCTGGGGGCCACCAGCTACTTAGCAGGAGCTCTAGGGGACTGACAGGTCATGTTTCTGATTATAAGAAGTGACACCAGTAAACTTGCATCCACTTGTCCCCCCGCCACCCTGAAAGGAAAATCTCTGAGCTGGAAGAGTGGTTAGAAACAGAGGTAAAGGCCAGGCGTCTGTGTCTGCATCTTAAATCACTAAGGTGGAGACTCTTGATTCATCTCACCTCCACAAGGGGTCTTCCTAAGGGGGTCGTTTTTAATTATTCTCTTAGAGAATGATGCATAGCAGGGCAATGCATAAAAATGAGCTTCATTCATTCATTCAGGAAATACTTTTTGAGTACCTATTGTGCTAGAAACATCTGTAAACCTTTTTGTCTGAAAGCTTACAATTATGAGTAGGCTATTCCCCTAGGGCTCTGAAAAGGGACTTGGAAGGGGCACGTGGTCCATATTTGTGGAACTGGAGACAGCTTCTTAGAGGAAATAATGTACGAAACTGGAAATCTTAGGAGGCTAATTTTAGTTTATTTTCACTCCAAAATACCTTATTTGAGGGTCAAAAGAAATGAAGAAATGGTGGTATTCCTATTTGGGCATATAAATGGGCTCTTCAGTTCTCCTTTCTAGAGTCCCATTACCAATGTAGGCTCCCAGGTCTACCTCTATGTGGCTTTATTCCATGCAGTTTATTTCTAGAACCTTCAGTATTTTCTTCTTTTCTTTAAAATTTATCTTTATTGTTGAAAGTATTACAGGTGTCCCCTTTGTGCGTTTTTTTTTTCCCCATTGACCCCCTCTACCCTGCACCTGCCCCTCCCAGGTCTTCACCACACTATTGTCTGTGTCCATGGGTTATGCATATATGCATAGAAATTCCCAGGTTAATCTCTTCCCACCTCACCCAGCCTTCCCTCTGAGATTCCACAGTCTGTTCCAAGCTTCTATGTCTCTGGATCTATTTTGTTCATCAGTTTATTTTGTTCATTAGATTCCACATCTGAGTGAGATCATGTGATACTTACCTTTCTCAAACTGCCTTAATTTGCTTAGCATAATACTCTCCAGGTCCATCCATGCTGTTGCAAATGGTAAGAGTTTCTTCTTTTTTTTATAGCTGCATAATTTTCCTTTTTGTAAATGTACCACAGCTTTTTTATCCACTCATCTGCTGATGGGCACTCGGGCTGTTTCCAAATCTTAGCTATTGTAAATTGTGCTGCTATGAACATAGGGGTGCATAGATTATTTTTGATTGCTGCAGAACCTTCCAGTATTTGTTCATTGTTCCTTCAGTACTTTCCGTGTGGTGTGATGTGTCTCTTTTTCTGGATTTTTACATCTTTTTGCCATTGCCCATTCGTATGAATGTTATCTCTTTCTGTAAAACAATTCACCCCCAAACTTAGTAGTTTAAGGCAACAATGATGTATTATTTCTCTGGATTCTGTGGGTTGTGTGGAGTTTCCCTTATTGGTTTCATCTCGGGCTCATTCATATGGTTGTTGGAGAGTCACCTGGGCAGGAAGGTCTGGATGGCCTCATTCACATGTCCGAGAATTGGTGCTGGCTATTGCCTGAGCATCTCGGTTCTCTCTGTGACCTCTTTACCTCCAGTAGGTGGGATTTGCTTTCTTACATGGCTGTCTCATCATGGCATTACAAGGGGGTGAAGGTGGGAGCTGCAAGTCTCATATGTCATTTCTGCTGCATGCAGCTGGTCAGTGCAGTTCACAAAGCCAGCCCAGGTTCAAGGGAAGAAGAAGTAGACTCAATTTCTTGATGGGAGAAACAGTGAAGTCATATTGGGAAGAAGCATGAGACTAGAGAATGTCTTATGATTTTGTCACTAATGTTGATGTATATGTAGCAGCTGTCCTTTCCATCTTCTAAGAAGGGCCTAGTCATTATTATATCAAATATAATTCTTATTGCTCACACCAACTCAGTTGTTACTAACCCTGGGAAAGCAGCCTTGTAGCTATTTCTTTCGTGTGTGTGTGTGTGTGTGTGTGAGAGAGAGAGAGAGAGAGAGAGAGAGAGAGAGAGAGAGAGACATTGATTTGTTGTTCCATTTATTTATGCATTCCCTGGTTGATTCTTGAATGTGCCCTGACCAGGGATTGAACCCACAACTATGGTGTATTGAGATGGTGCTCTAACCAACTGAGCTATCTGGTGGCCAGGCTCTTGTAGCTCTTCTTGTAAGTGTGGTAATCTCATCATGGGAGCCCCGACTTCATGAAATAATCACCTCCCAAAGGCCCCATCTCTAAATACCATCACATTGGGCATTACCATTTCAGTATATGAATTTTGGAAAGACACAGACCTTCAGTCCACAGCAAAATAGAACAGCAATTTGGGAAATGGACTAATGCCTTTGGGAAAGAAATATTAGCCTTTGTAGAAAGGTAGGGTGGGACTTAAGTCAGTAAATTGTAACTCCTTTTCAAGATGGCTAAACCAAATGCAATCTGCTAATGCTAAAGTTTCCATGGCATTTCCAGTTTTTGGTTTTTTTCTCTAATTACTAGGAGAAAAAGCATCTTGTTCACATCTGAAGCAGATCCTTCTCTTAAAAATTACATTTGTGGCAGCACATGACAGCCATATCTGTCTGTCTGACAACTTTGCTGTGATGCCACACAGAAGCCTATAATGTAGGATTTCAAATGAGCTCTTTTCCTTTTGTATAGGTTTATTTTTTGTCCCTTTTTCCCTCCCAGGCTGATGAGCCCTGAACACACACTCCTGCAGCCCCGGGAAGAGGAGGGGGTCAAGTATGAACGCACCTTCATGGCATCTGAATTCCTGGATTGGCTGGTTCAGGAAGGTGAGGCCACCACAAGGAAAGAGGCAGAGCAACTGTGCCACCGGCTTATGGAGTATGGCATCATACAGCATGGTGAGTGTATGGGTCAGTTTTTGCTGTGGTAACAAGCAAACCTGAAATCTTGTGGATTACCACCATAAACATTCACTTCTCACTCATAGGTCTATAAGTCAACTATGCCTCTGCTTGGGCTCAGCTTAGCTAGAGGTCAAGTTCCATGCCTTCTCATTTTGGGACCCAGGCTAAAGGAACTTCCACTCTTTGGGATATATTATTTTTACAAATGAGGGCAGAAGCTAAAGAGGGCAGGCAGATCCTTGTAGCATCTCTAAAAAGTTATATTCGATATGATTTAACATTACTACTCCCATACTTAGCTGACTACAGGAACTAATCTGGTCAGGTCTGAAGGGGAATTAATGCCTCTCACAATGTTGGTTGCAAGGGGAGAATGAAAATTTGCTGAAACAGAGAAGGGGCTTAGGGGAACTGGGTGGAAAATGTGAAGTACAAATTGATAATTGCAAAATATTCACGGGGGTACAGCCTAGGGAATATAGTTAATAATATTGCAATAACTATGCATGATACCAGGTGAGTACTGGAAATATCAGGGGGGAACACTTTGTAAAGTATATGATTGTCTAACCACTATGCTGTATACCTGAAATTAATGCAAAATAATATGAATGTAAACTTTAATTGAAAAATACATTTTAAATTAAAAAAGAAAGAAAATTTGCTGACCCATGCATGGTATGAGCTGCCACAGTGAAGAAGTAATCCAAATGACCTTCATAAAACTTTCACTTTCCTTTTTGGGCTGAATCATAACGATGCAATATAACCTATGGCTAAGAACTACATTAGTTATCTATTGCATAGGAAATGACCCCAAAACTTAATGGCAGAAAATAAAAAGAAATAATATTTTCTCACACAGTTTCTGTGGATCAGGAATTTGGGAGTGACTTAGCTGGGTGGATCTCTCTTGAGGTCTTCATGAGGTTGTAGTCAAGATGTCAGTGGGCTGTGGGACATTTACACTATGAAATACTATGCAGCTATAAAAAAGAGGGATTTCTTATCCTTTGGGACAGCATGGATGGACCTGGAAAATATTATGTTAAGTGAAATAAGCCAATCTGAGAAAGACAAATATCTCATGATCTCACTTATTTGTGGACTCTAACGAACAAAATGAATTGACCACCAAAATAAGATCCAAAGTATGGAGGCATGGAACAGACTGACAGACCTTGATGTGGGGGTTAAGGGGACAAGAAGACATAAACCAAAGAACTTATATACTTATATGCATAGCCCATGGACATGGGCAATAGGGTAGTGAAGACCTGGGCAGGGTGGGGGAGGGGAGTAGGGGCTGAGAGGAGGGGGTTAAAAGAGGGGACAATGGGAGATATCGGTAATACTATCAACAATAAAATATATATATATATATTATCAGTGGGGCTACCTGAAAGCTTGACAGGCTGGATGGAGGATCTACTTCCACAGTGGCTCACTTGTGTGCCTAACAAGTTGGTGCTGGTTGTTGGCAGGAAGTGTCAGTCCATTGCTGTGTAGACTTCTTCATAAGGCTGCTTGAGAATTCTCATGACATGGCAACTTGGCTTCTTCTAGAGGGAGTTGTCCAACAGAGTGCAAGACAGAAGCCACAGTGTTTTCTAACTGAGCCTAGAAAGTCACACACTGTCACTTCCTCAGTACTCTATTGCTTACCAGGTCAGCTCTATTCAGTGTGAACACCAGGAGGCAAGGATCATTGGAACCATCTTGGAGGCTGACTGTCACAAGAGCATAATCTCTGGAACACCAGCTCTACCAGTTATTAGCTAATTACCTCCTGTCATCTGTGAAATGGGAATCCCTGCATAGAGTGGTTGCAGGAGTATATGGGATTAGATATAAAATACTTGGTTCAGTGTTCTGTTTTTAGTAAGTGCTCAAACATTTATTAACATAACGGCAAGGTGTAGGCTCAGAACGGTGAGAAAAGGGCTGGGAATCAGATAGGAATTTCAGCCTAAGCAAAGTTGAAAGGTAATACTTGAGACATTCTTTCTTTGAACTCCCTGCCCGCTCTGCTGTGGAGACCTAAGACTTCTCTTCCCAAGGCTAGGAAGATAACAGCGGAATTATAGAGAGAGATGAAAGAAACTTTTGAAATTACTTGGAGCTGTGTTTTACAAACAGCAGATTGCAACTCTTTCTTTATTGGGCTATGAAATAAATTTAGAAAGCCATTCCAGCAATAAAAATTATTTTAAATAGACTAGACTAGACTCTTACTACTCAAAGTGTGGTCCATGGACACAGAGTGTCACTGGGAGCATGATAGAAATGCAGACTCTCTGATCCAGCCCACGTTCTGCTGAATCTGACTTATATTTTATTTATTTATTTATTTATTTATTTATTTAACTCAAAGTGTCCATGGACACAGAGTGTCACTGGGAGCATGATAGAAATGCAGACTCTCTGATCCAGCCCACGTTCTGCTGAATCTGACTACTT